GTTTGATGTTGTTTCAGTGTTCTCTGCTTGGTGTCTTTATTTCTTTCTTTCGTACATTGTAATTATTACTGGTACATTCCTAGACTTATATAACATGGGGTTAGGGGGTGGAGAAGAAGCTGTGTTCATATGGAAACCAAAGGTCAAACACAAACTAAATTCTACCTGATAGTGATGTAAAAATGGGTTTGAACTTCTGAAACGTAGAGGTTAGTGATTACTTTTGACTTATGCCAAATATAGAACATCAGCAGACATAGCTGAATATCTCACTAAGTGTTTTCTGAAAAGAATAGGTTGTCATCATTTTGAAGTTTACAGAGTACTTTTCATATTTGGTTCTCCTGATGACCCTTAGTAGTTAATAGTACCTACGTATTTTATGTATGTGAAACTTTAAATTCACAAAAACTAAGAAATGTACCTGAGATCACTTGTCAGAGAAGCTTGGATTTGGATTTTAGTTTCTAAGGCCTGTAGCCTCCCATGTGTGGCAGTACTATTTTCTTCAAATGAAAATGATTATCAATTATTTTTGTTTAGATTTTCTATATAATATTTTTATTATTCTACTCAACTATGTAAAATCATCAATGATTTTGGATGCGAGGCAAAATAAAATTTGGGTCCAATTCTGTAGGCTATTATGATTAGGGAAACAGTCACTTTCACCTGTATATGATTTTTTATTAGTTTTTGAGAGCAATTTAATGCAAACTAACCTCCACCCATTCTATTTCTCTTATGACGTTTGTCCTTCAGATTTACCAATATTATTTTTAATGCTCATAGTTTTTCCCAATGACATCTGATTTTAAATACAGTTAGAGAATCCAAGATTAGTAAGACTCCAGGGGTTTGCTATAGACCTAGATTCTCATGAAAACAGAGGGGGACAAGAAAGAACAGAAAAGGCAACATAGTTTTCTGAATTTCTCATTTCTTATGGCTCAATTCTCATTTGCCATATCTGGAACTCATTTTGTCTTAGGCTTCATGAGTTCATGCTTGTTTCTGAGGCCAGGCTAATCCACGCTTTCAATAAACTATTTGAGTTCTGATCTTGGTAAATGTCAAGGGAAGAAAAGATATTTCAGGCACCTACAGCATCCTTAAAAGTCTTGCCAAATCCATGAATCTGACTCTGCATTACCCTTCCCAAGAAGGAGAGCATCATTTGATTATCCATGAATCATCACCTCTTAGACTGTAACCTCATTGTCAGAGAGCCTGATAGAACCAGTGTTCAGCTGGCTGAGAAGGGGGAGGAGGGAAGAAAACTCTGGGGCAAAGCACAGGTCACTGGCACAATCAGCAAACTAGACAGTTCTAGAGATGGAGGAGGAGGCCTCCCTTCCTTGTCAGCTCAGATACACCTCCTGACTGCTAAATAACTGACGCTGATTCTTTCTCTATTAAAGCTGACATTTGTTTCCCCACCTAAATGACGCTGTATGGAAATATACGGCCTATGGAGACTATGAGTCAATTTAATAGAAACGTCACAATGCTTGTCCAGTATTGATGAGTACAGATATACTTTAAAATATTTCTTCTCTAGTCCTATTGCGTTATGACTCATGTTTCATCTTTGGATACATTATTTCTAGCCCTCAGCGCCAGTTCTATGGTCTCTTTTTCTGGCTTTATTTAAAAAAAAGGCAATATACATTTTTAGAAAGACATAAAAATTATGTTTCCTAGATAAACGAGCTAAGTGAAATCCAAATCCGATGTACAGATTCAAAAATCTGTGCTGTAAATCATGTTTACATAAGGATTCAGGCTAAAAAGGTAAAATGTGTATAAATAGCTGCATTTAGCCTAAGCCGCCACTGGAGGTCACTGCTGCTCCATAGAAATACGCTTTATTGCCTGTCTACTTAGGTAGTTGACTCACCAAATCAAGTAAAAAATGGTTTAAATTCTTTGAAAAGATGTAATGTCAACATCTTTGGAAAATACAAACTCATTTAAATGGGATATATCTTGCATAAGTATTGCTTAGAAGACTGTGGCACGGGCCCATTAACTCACGCCGCAGTAGTGCTGTGTGTTCTGGAGTTCATAAAAATGGAAAAAAACCCACAAGCAGTGCAGAGACTAAACTCCATTTCCTCTGTGTTTTGGTAAAGCAGAGTACCGGGACTGAAGCTATTCTTCCTCGATGAGTCTTTATTGTATAGTTCAACAGGTCGCGTGGGATATTTCACTGTTGTTGCCTTTGAGGGAAGTTAGGTATTTTATGTAAATTTGCACCCGAAAATTGAATATCAGTGACATTTCTCTAAAATGCAACGAGCTTGAAAGCCTTATGAAAATAGATTTATGGACTGTGTAGTCCGGAAAATGCCCTGGGCTGAGGTGAGGCACACAACTTTTTAGCAGGAGAACCTGGGTCAGTTGTTAGATTTACAGTGGTGAACTAGTTACTGTCTAACTTAACAAGAATATATATTTGTGCTCAGGAGAGATTGAGAAGTAGGGAAGTTCAAAGCTTCGTCCTCAAAGGAGGGAAGGGGGAGAGAAGGTGGTGTTTATTTTGTTGTTGTTGTTGCTGCTTTTGTTTGTTTGTTTATTTTTATGTCCTGAATCAAAATGAGCTCTACCACCTCAGGGATTTTCTTTTGGCTTTTATCCATCATGAAGTTTATAAGACAACTTAGGTATTAAAAAAATGACTACCTCCCAAAATGTCCATCATTTAATCTTATTTACCTACCAAATGGCTTTGAATTTTAAAGGTGCTTTTGAATACAACACGCATATGCCATATATACTAGTAGCACCATAGCACTGAGAATTTGCAAGAATTCAGAGATGTAAGTATAAATGTGTGTGACCTAAAATATATTTGGTATCCATCAGAAATGAGGCAGAAGGTAAAGTTGAAGAATAGAAATGGACTTTTTTTTTTTAACTTTAAGACTGTATTTAATGAATACAATTGATCTTTAGTACAGATAAAAATGAAGCTGGCCAAAGAAAATGTCTCTTTTAGGTGGAATATGTACGTACTGACACTTCATGAAAAATAGAAAATTACAACTTAGTAAAAACATCACAGTGAGCTCAACCATCCAGTTCACAGTGCTGGAAGGAAGTATCTGCATTATTAATCAATTGGGAATACGTGATTTTTCCCATTAATAAATGAATATTTAACAATTATTCATGGGTACACATCGTAGCGATGATGCTTTTGTACATTAGCTTCTATCATAGGTTTAATCAAAATCAAAGTATCTTGAGAAACCCACTTTAAATGTTCCTTTTTCCTCATGGCTTATAAAAAGTATGATTTTAAGAATGTGGCTTTCTCGTGATTATATTTCATGGCGATTTGCCTAGATTTTTCCTCTCAGCATACGAAAAACCTCCAAATAATAGAAAACCGTTAGTAGAACTAGCCATTCACTTTTGCTTTTTTTGCTGCAGAGATTCTGCTTTGAAAGAACAGGGACATTGGTTAAAGAGGTAGGGCTTGGCAGCCAAACTAAATGACACAGCCTCGATGTGGGGATTCCTGGTTTTAGCTTCTTGTCATAAAACTGTTCATTCTGGAGGATGAAAGATACAGACTACAGATGTTTTGCTAAAACCTTAATGGACTGTGGTTCAAGTTACTTAAACACAGAGGCATGATATTCGTGCTGCAGTCAATAAACTTTCACCAATGACAATAAAAACATGCATGCAGCTTGCAGCCTGCAAAGGGGCTCTGTCCAGGGTTGTCCTGATGAGTGCACAATCCAGATGGACACAGGGACATCAGGGAATGTCAGCCACAGCAGAGCCAAAGAGAACTGTCGTAGGGTTGATCTTTTTTCCCCTCAGATGTAATTTATACATTTATTAAGGTGTTATTAAAGTCATGCTTTTCAATAAGGCTATTGGTGGAAGGCATGTCCTGAAGCGTGTTCTCTTTATACATCTGAATGAAGGGTCAGGCATTAGGGGACTGGACTGTGCAGGACACATAATGGGACACAACAGGACAACCTGAGACAAATCCTGAACAGAAGGAGAGGAAGGACAGGGCTAATGCTTCTGCTAACTACATCAGGGTCTCTGAAAGAGCTGGAAAGAGAAATTCTGGTGGGCTCCCAGCCACAGGGGTACAGCAAGCTGCCTGCTCATCTGCAAACCTTCTCTCTGGAGGGGGAGAAATTTGTCATCTCCAATTTGCCTCTTGGCTATTTATCATTTATTAAACGTACACGCTAGAAGAAACTTACAGGGAAACCTCTCGTCTGGTTTTACAGGGGCAGGGCTCAGAGAGAAGGCTTCAAATCTAAAACTTCAAACTGTTACCGGCTCCCCACATTTGGCAGCTGCCTGCTTTGCAGCATTTTAACCCTTCAACCCTTTCTCCCTGTGCCTCCCTGATTGTAACTCAGACACCTCCAGACGCTGCCTCTGGTGCTGCTGTAACCCAGCACCATCTCTGGATAGTTTCCTGCAATTTTCTTTTGAAGGCAGGCGTTGGTTTAAAGGGGTCTGTCTCTAAAATGTTCCTGTAACTGAGTCACCTCCCAGAATCAGTTCAGGCTCCCAGGACCCGGGGTCATTCACCTCTGTCCTTCCTTTTCCAATGAGCTACAAACCCAGAACTGTAGATATTTGGCCCTAAGAGGAGTGGAATAAGGGCAGATGTGGGAGACTAGTTATGAAAGAAGTTTTATCTTAAAACAAATGCAACATTAATAAAATCAATGAAGGGTCTCATACAATAGGCATTATATTAAGCCAGAGTTCAAACTGCACATTGATTGCGGTATTTAAATTTCAATGGGTTGATTATGTATGAGGGGAAAATGAGCAGTATTATGAATGGACTCAGACGGGCGGGGAAGGACCTGGCCAGCAAAGTGAGAGGGAGAAGGAAGGGGGGAGGGGCACCGTGTTCCCTTTATGGTCACCAGAGTTTAATAAAGCATCACTTATTTCCCAGCTTTTAACACGCTTTTTTTTTTTTTTTTAATCACAGTGGTTCATACCTCACACTCCCGGGAGCCCGACTTGCTATAGGTGCAGGGTCCCGTCCCGTTCAGCAGCATCTCGCTGGTCTCGGTGTTGGTGGGTTTGTAGTCGACATAGAATTCCTGGGTGCTGGGAGTCATCTGCTTCAGGGACTGCCGTTTCTTTTTCCTGTGCCTTCGCATGAGGGAGCGCTGCTGCAGCTGCTTCATGCTGGCAGGGTAGCGCTTCCATGACACGTAGATCACCAGCAGGATGACGAGCACCGACAGGAAGAGGGCCACGCTCCCCGCGATGATTTTATGGAAGGAGATGTGCTCGGCGTCCGCGTCGGTCTCCGGCCCGGGCTCTGTGGCTCCCACCGTCGGGGGCAGGGGGGGCTTGCTCTCATGCTTGGGCCTGGGGAGCTTGGGCTTAAACGTGGGCTTGGGGAGAGCCCTGTCCAGATCAAACCTCTCCGTGGTACTTTTGCCACAGATGCTGTAGTTCTTCACTGCGTCGATCACGTTTACTCCCTGCAGCTCTTTGGGACTGGCACAGATAATTGTATTCTCTCTCAGACCTTTAAAACTTTTTAGCCAGTTTACCAGGGAACAAATATTTCTGCTGCATTCCCATATATTCCCGGCAAGACTGATGTCATTGAGGGATATCCAAGAATCCAAAATCTCCTGACCAATAAATGTGAGCTTGTTGGAATCCAGGTTGAGGCGCTGCAGATTCGGGACACACTGGAAAACACTAGGTCCACTGAAAGCTTCGATCTCATTGCCTGATAAATCAAGCCTTTGTAAGGAGCTCCAGGTCCAGGACATGGTCTGTCCTATGACACTGATTTTATTCCACTGCAAGTAAAGATTCTGAAGGCTCACCAGCCTCGGAAAAAGGGCCAGGTTTAGCTTGGAAAATTGATTGTGCTCCAGGTGAAGTTCTTTGAGTCTGATCATGCCAGCAAAGACATTCCTGGCCAAACTTCGGATCCGGTTATATCCCAGGTCCAAAAGTTCCAGGTTGCGGCAGTCTTGAAATATTCTCACAGGGATGGTTCTCAGGGAATTAGATCGTAAATGTAAACTCAGCAGCTTCCTCAAGCCCCGAAACTGCTCAGATCCCAGAGAATGCAGCTGATTATAGGACAGATCCAAGTTCCGCAAATTTGTCACAGGTCTGAAGGTATTGTTAAGAAAATAGGAGATTCTGTTGGAACTCAGAATCAACTCTTTGAGTCTGCGTATTCCATTAAAAGCATTTTCGTCAATATTGCTGATATGATTATGATCAAGGTATAGCCAGGTGAGCTGGTTGAGCCCTTTAAATTGATTATACTTAAGTTTTTGAAGGCTGTTATAACGGAGGGACAAACCTAAGCAACCAGCAGATATACTCGAGGGTATCTCCTGTAATTTCTGAGATTCACAATATACCATTTTGCCTTCACACCTACAGCCCTTAGGGCATCCTCGTTCAGCAGAAGAAAGCATTGTCAGTAAGACAGTGGGGGCTATAACCAGTGCTACAGCTGATCCGCTCAGTAGCCTAATTACATTGAAACCTGGAAATAAAAACAACTTAGAAAAGTTATCCCCCCAAAAAAGAATTCATTTTTTTTCATCAAGCAAAAATAGGCACGTATTTTTTATGTTTACAAAATTAAATTTAGACAACAACATTTAACATCACCTATCGTCTCTTTGTAATTAAAGAGAATTGTCTTTAGGGTTCTTTTTTTAAATAGTTAAACAAGGAAACATGTCCACTAAGCAATTGAATTTATAGTCTTAGAGCAGAGCAAGGTAATCTCTAAAGCAATTAAGGCAGAAATATTACACAGACTAGAGGATTTTTTTTTATTTCTCTCTCTCTCTCTCTCTTTTTTGGTTTTAAGAAGGAAAGAAGAAAAATGACAAACATACCCATCCTTTGTATTGTTCAAAGGTCGTCCTTAGGTCTTTTGCTTTGGCTTAGGGGGCCACTTGCATGACAGCCCCTGTCAGCTGCACTGTAGTGAGTCAGGGCTCGCTGACACCCAGGAAGAAAAATTGGACCCCTTGGGAGATGGACCGATTTTGGAACATTATTCTTTGCCAGCCACGCAGAACACTCCAAGAACAAATAAATCCCAACACCGCATTCACAGCAAAACATCGAAATCTTCCTAGGTAATAGGATCTTCATGGATATTACGTTTTTGCATCTTTACAGTTTTTTATGGGGGGGGGTTAAAAAAAAAAAACTGGCTTCTATAATTTCTTCTTATCGGAAAACATGATGTATTCCTCCAGGCAGTGTGGGGCTACCTGAGCTGCCCCATCTGTATTCCATAGCCCAGCAATTCCCGGGGTGAGCACCCAGTTCAGCCACAGAGCTGCGATGGAGCCCAGGAGGCAGGAGAGCCCGGTACCTTGCACACGCTCGGCTCACTTCTGCAGACTGTCATTCTGAAAGCCGCTCCGACTGTTGCTTTGGTTTCGGTGAATGCAGTCTTATGTAAAGCTGCCCCCAGCGGCGAAGAACATTATGGGCATGTGCAGAAATGTCTCTCTTTTATCTTGCAAATGAGCAGGCTCTCTGCTGGAAAATGAATGATTCTTTTGGGTGGCTCAATAGCGACTGAATGGTCACAGTAATCAATAACTAGCAACATTTTCTGTGATTTCCAAGTCTTGTTTTACAATTTGGCCATGTCGCTATTGTCTGCGTCCACTTAATCACGAAACGTGTGTCGCCCAGAGTTTTTCTGGAGCTTGACATTAAGTTCACAGACTGAATGTCAATTTTCCTTAACCTCAGTGTAGGCTTTGAACTGAAATTTATAAAATGAATGATTGAGCTTTTCACACAGAAGCATTAACTGCCTGCCCATGTGACCTCTTGGAGTCACAGGGATTATATTTTGCGAGGTGTCCCAGGATGTTGGAACATGTACCTTCTGGAATAGAGGGGATAACTAATAACAGGTGAATTAATGATTCCGATGGCTTTTCTGGGTTTTCCACAAAAGATATAATTGGTTTTATGGCTTATGGTTTGGTTTGTTATTTTGGCTGCTGTAATTTTCTTTTAATTAGAAAAGAAATAAACTGCTTTTAGTGCTAATATAAGACACAGGAGATCATTTGGTTCGTAGTTTCTTGATGCTGCTGCTATTTATTACACTAATAATATTTATTGAGCACTTTCTAAGTGCCTTAAATGGGCTCTCTTGTTTTAACTTTAAGCAATAGCATGATGTAGGTCCCATTAAAACCACTATTTTAAAGGTGAGGAAAAACACTTGGAGAGGTAACTTGCTCAAGGTCACATAGCAAGTAAATGGCAGAGCTGACATTCAGAGCCAAGGCACTCTCATGCTTGGACCTGAAACCACTAGATGATCCAGTTCAACAACATTGCTATATTCATTTTAAAAATGAGTCAAATAAAATTCAGACCTAGTAAGGCATTGGGGTAGGAAGCTGCAATCAATACGTTCTTGTTCCTCTAATGGGACTGCATAAACTTCTTTGGTCTGAGACTCCTAAAGAAGTTTAAAAACTCAGAAGCAGTAGGTTAGTGATGGAGAACACAGATTTTGGCACAGAGATTCAAATCTCAGCTATAACTTATGAGCCGTATAACCATAAGTAGGTCACTTATCTCTCCGAAATCTCAGTTTTCCCATCTGCAAAATGGGCATGATAACAAAAAATATACATTTTAAGACCGAAGGATTAAGTCTTATTAGTATCTATAAAGTACCAAGAGCGATGTGTTGCACATAAGCTATTTGTGGAAAGTATTTAAATAACATCAACCTCATTGTACTTGTTGGGATTGCATGCTGTTTGGTATTGAATATTTACTATACCAATCATCATTAACTCACAAAGAACTACTTTAATGAGTGGTTAATAATAAGTTTTATATTGTACACATGGATTTCTGAGATTCACTTAGTATTGCTTTCTTTCAGGAGCAAACTTCCTATGTATCCATTATCTCAACTTTATCTTTAAAATGAATCTTTTGTTCTATGGATCATACTTAATTATTAATGTTGATTCTTTTCTTTCCCAAAGCAGAACGTGAGAGCATCTGCCCCACAGAGATAGCCATTCTGTTTAGAAATAAAGGGTATCCTTTAAAAACGCATGCCTTGTTGGTTTTTGCTAAGTGAATTGGCTACGAAAAAGCCTGGAAAGCGTTCCCATTCTCTGAGGATGAGAAGTATGGTAAAGTTAGTCAGGATGATCAAAAAGGGTCTCCCGAATATAGTCCAAAGAAAATCATCAATTTCTTAGATTATATGCTGTTAATAGGGCTAGTGGTTTCCTCTCCCAAATATCTATGCTACGAGTGCATATAAAGGACTCAGAGTGTGCTTCAAATAGAATAGATAGAATTCTTAAATCCCTCCCCCAAGATTCTGATTAGGGGTACGGTAGAGTTATGCACATCAATAATCTCTGATGGTCAAGTAGTTTTCAAAAACTCACTATAAAGGAATGATTCAAAATGTTTTCCCCTTGTAGGAAGGGAGAGTATGCAAACTGGGGATATTGGGATGTATGTTTCACGAGGACAAAGAATGTTTAGTCTAATTCATTTTCCTTAATACCTATAATAGCACTTGGCACATTATAGACACTCAATAATTATTGAAAAATGCATTTTTATGGGGGCTGGAAGTGCTATGGATGTAGTGTAACTAGTTACATGTTGTTAGTCTTATGTACATGGTATTGAGCCTGGAAGATTTCCTCAGTGAGTAAAATTGGAAATCATTTTGGAGAAAGTATTTTTTTTTTTATTATTAGGGATTCAAAGAATCAGGTTACAGTGATGGCTTTTGTTAAGTAAAGTCCCTCTTATTATTTTTGAAGAATGTATGTGAAAAGGCAAGAAATTAGAAATGAGAAAACTTAGGTCGTCAGTAGGTGATCTTCACTTTTCATGGAGACGTCTCTTATCCTCATAAATAAATAAACCATGAATTTCACGATATGAGTAATTATGCTTTTGAATATTCCCTTATGAACAGCGAAGTGTAACACTGAACCTTGATCATCTAACATCCCAAGTGGGGCTTAACAACTTATATTTTTCCAAAAAAGAGGAAAGGGAGTCATATTTCCCTCACATCTCTGTTACCTGAAAGCCTCTACTTCTCCTCATTCTTCCTCCTTTTCTTTTCTTTTTTTTTTT